TATATATATATATATGAGTATCCTGGTCATCCTGTGGGACCTACTACTGAGCTTCTGCTCTTAGTTTATCATAGTGTTCAGGTGTAGGAAATTCATGCAGCAAAACTCCATGTAAGACTTTATGGAAGGAGAAGTTGAGAATTATTTTAAGTGAAACTGGTATCAGGCACTCACTCTTAAATTTCTCATAAATTTCATTCTCGTACAAAGCACTGCACTAAGATATGCCCATCGATCTGGGTAGGGATTCTGTGTGGTAGGGAACAAGGGGTGTCAGGAGTGTCCGTCATGTCAATGGGGTTCTTGATTTGCAACAATGAAGTAACTTTTTGGATGGCTATTTCAGCCCCTTTGGGAGTCAGCTGTTTTTATGGAGTCATTGCATGTCTGAGAGACCTGTGTGCTTCACTTTCTGTGGGCAAAGTTGTTGCCCAGTGTCTGCTCCCTTATTTTGGATTCCTTATGGCTGCAGTTGCTCATCCTGTTGGGACAGTGAGGAATGGTACACAGCGTGGTCTAAAGCTAGGGCTGTCTTTCTGTTGCCAGAGCTCAGGTTTTTAGCTGACAAGTCACGTACGCTGTGCCCTTATCTGAGTGTAGGCATTCTGCTGCTGATGGAAGCAACACGTTCCTCAGTGTTTAATGGTTTTCTTACTGTCAGTTCTGTCCTTGATTTTTCAATGTACACCATTTCTTTATCTCTCACACTATACAAGATTAGTTGTTGTTATTGTTTGGGTGCTTTCACACACGCTTCTGTTTGTATCTCATTCAGACCAACCTTAAATCTTTTTGTAACAAACTTCTACCTGTGGCAGATAAGAGGATGTTAAAGGGATCTTTGTTGCTGATCCTTATTGAGGATTTGGAGGTAGGAGCTGGGTACCACTTGCATGCTTGTGTCTTCCACGCTACAGAGGAGCTGTTTCTCCTCTCTGCTGTGGCACTTGCTCTTCTTTCTTAGCACTTGCCCACATGCAAATCCCATTGGATACACATTCACTAAGATACGTGCGATCCCTGGTGAGATGCACCACACCTCACCCTCTTTTGTACCATCAGGGCGATAAAAAGAAAAACACTGCTGCTTATTTCTTCTTGATAGTGTTGCCTGGAAACAACTCTCCTGCATATTGAGCTCTGGTCTTATTTGTTCATCAAGAGATTTTTCAGTTTCTTATGCTCTAGGGAACAGTACTTTGACTTGTGGTTGAGAGCAAACTGGGAAGTGGCTGGTAAGTGCCTCCAGTTGCGTCTCTGAGCATGGGGAGGACCAGCAGTGCGCAAGGCACTGGGCTCTTGACGTGTCATGCCTATTGGCACTTGAGCTGGGTGACTTGGAGAACTCCACCTTGTGGAGGGGGAAGTTTTCCTGTCCCCAGGGATTAGCTCTGTTATCTAATAGATGTCCTTAGCTCTCTGAATAGGAGAGTAATTGTAACACTTGCTTTTTCTTTATCTTTTTGTTGTTGTTGTTTATTATTCTATTTTATTTTTCCCTCTTCAAAGGGCCAAGGCCCAGGACCTGGTGAATTCTCTCTTTCTCATCATGGTGGATGCATCACTAGCAACCATACAGTGCTTAGAAGAAATAGTAAGTACTTGCCTTGCCTGGATTGTATTTGTGATCTTGGATGTCTGTTATATTAAAAGGGTAGCCATTGCAGTTAATGTCTTTGTTGCTTTGAAGTCCATCCTCCTCTGCCTCTCCCTGCTTGCTTTATTGCATTTCTTTTCCAGGTTTCAGAGTTTGTGCAGAAAGATGAAATAAAGCCTGCTGTTATCCAGCTGCTTTGGGAGCGATTCACAGAAAAATCTCAGTGCTCATCGCTAGAACGACGTGCTGCTGTGATACTGCTGGGGATGATGGCACGGTGAGCCCAGGGCCCTCTCTAATCCTGTGAGTGGGAGGATGTACGAGGAGCTGATTTTTATCGAAGAACTCTGGGTGCTGCATCAGCTGACCCTTTGTTCTGCAGTTTCAAAATTAGTAACCAGGTCATGGAGTAATGGAGCTTGGAATTCAGTGTAGTTGTGCTGGATCCCACCAGCACGGTCTCTGAATGAGTATGACAACGTTACTTTCTTTGTGTACTGAATGTCTATCCCTTCTCAGAGTTTACCGTGTCGCAGCTCTGCAGCTTGTTTGGGATAAGAACAGTGAGAAGCTGCTGAGTAGAGATGTAGCATGGAGCTTTAGTAGAGCCTTTAGCATGGAGAAAAAAGTGTAATTGCACTGTAAGGTTTTCGTTTCCCTAGTTTCCCAGCCCATAACCCTTTGGCATTTAGTTTACCTGCTGATTTCTTCTTGCTCTTCCTACTTCAGTCCTTCATCAGTCAAAAATGTGCCTGCAGTCGGATGATCTTAAAGTTCTAAGCTCTAGAGTTGGAGGCATTTCTGGAGCTTACTGACAATTCTGCCATTTGAGTATTAGATATTCCTTCCAAGGTATTTCTACCACCCCATCCCACGGGCTTGCAGCAGAATTGTAGACATCATCTTAAAATTAATATCCTTTTCTAAAATCATGGGATTTAAAGAAAACTGTTGGTTTCCAAGGTATCCCATGAGATCCTGTGTTGAGTCCATGAGTGTGCATGTATGAAATCAGAACAGAGAGCAACTGTTTGGCTGCAAGCTAAAAGAGCAAAACCACCACAATCACCTTCACAAATCTACTAAAGGAGGTGATTTTGCTTTTGTCCTATAGGTGCCCATTTTAGAGTCTCTTTTTAAGTACATTAGATTCAGTTCTTGCTTTCTTCAGCCAGTTCATTGTATGTTCCTCAGACCAGGCCTGAATAATTCTAACTTTCAGAGACAGAAAGGGAGGGGTGTGTGTGGGTGATGGTTTTTGGGGGGGTTTGTTGTTGTTTTGTTTCCCACAGTAGGGGAGGAAGCATCACACATCACCAATCCTGAGCTGCTGGACTCTTCTCTATTTTGCAGCATTTTTCTTTGTCTTACCCTTTTAAGTTTTGCTCCTTTCTGATAAGAAAGAAGAGTCAGTGTGCTGTGTTGTTCACTTTGTAGAACCTCCTTTCTTAGTGGAGTATGGATTATACCAGCTTTTGTGGGATATTGCTTGCTGCCCATATAGCTATATCTTGAGTCATTGGATGGATTTTTTTTTTCCCCCTCTTACTCAAACCACTGCCTTCTGCAAGGCACAAGGAGTATTTCTATTGGTTATGCATACTTCTGTGAGCTTGGAGCAGCAACTTGTGTGATACCCCCATCCCTTCCATTCCACAGAGGGAAGCCAGAGATCATAGGTAGCAACCTGGATGTCTTGGTGACAGTTGGGCTGTCTGAGAAGGTATGTGAAGACTATTGCCTGGCTCAAGAAGTATGCAATGCCATCTCCAAACTTGCTGGTAACCATAAGGTAAGACTCAGCTTGTTCTTGAGGTCATCTAGAAACAGTGTTATCCAAAAACAAAGAAGGGGGGGGAAATGGTTTGCATTGAGAAGAGAGAGAAGTGATTAAGTTTTTACTAATTTTGAAATTAAGTAGGTTGAGGCCATTCAGCAGCACTGTCTGGAAAACTTTGCACACATGAGTGAACACGTAATAAAAGAATTTTCATTAGGCAACAAGCTGAATTCAATTAGTAAAGAGTTCAGTGCACAAGAAAATCTGTTTTTCTTTCAGTTCCCTTCCTCAGGCTCCCACTTCTAAGCTGATTTGTGTTCCCTCAACCATAAAGCCCTTTCCTCTACAATGTTTTATGGTGGTGTGATTCTTTTGCCCTCCCTATTAATTGACAGTTGTCAGCTGTACAGCTGAATATAAAATATGAAAGGTTTTCAAACCTGTCCATGTTGTACTGACAACAACATGGTAGTCAATGGCTTCCTTGTCTGGGGAACAACTTAGACTTTTTTTTTTTTTTAATGCACTTGGGGGGGGGGGGGAAATAGATGTTCTTTTTTTTTGACTCAATCATCTAGGGCATTTTGGTTCAGGAGTTCCAGCATAAAAGCAGTCCCTCTTCACACAGCACCATCATTCCGCATTTGCCCCTTCCACTGAGGATGTTACTGCAGGACCTTCATGAATTAACGTGTATTACACCATTCTTAAATGTTCTGAAGATGATTGTAATTCAATTTTAGGTTGACTTAACTCTGCAGTTAAGTTTGTATGTGAGAAGGGACTGAACTGTAGATACTTGAATAACTTGTGGTAGCTCTTCCTTCCCCTCCCCTCACAACCGGAAGTTCAGCACAGAGCAAAGGATTGTAGTGAATTAAGAAATATAGTTTCCAGCTCCTGAAAGCTGGTAAATCCTCAAGGAGTAGTGTGTTTTGGTCAAGTATATCTTGATCAGGAAGCTGCAGATGTGCTGGGATATCTCGGGTATTGTCACGCTTGGGTTTAGTAGTTCTCTGGGTTATCTTGCTCCCAACCTAAAATGTGGTGAGACTGATACAGAGCGAATGCCACAGCCTAAGTGTGAGGTGCTGTTGGATCCAGAGCTATCTCCTGTGATTTGTACTGATTATATTTTTGCTTTTAAACAAAATCTTGTGGTTGTGGAGTACCCCTAAGAAGAGCATCTAGTTGACTTACTGTTGATAACTCTGAAGGTGCTTTAAAGGTTTCCCTCTTCATTCATTGTGGAAAATGAGTAAATAATATCACATATTAAAAGTCATATTTAGATTTCAAGAGTTATTTTCATTTAAGGTGAAATAGTGGAACTGTCTGGGTTGGCCTGGGATCATCATTTGGCCAAGCTTTAAATCCACCCGGTACTGCCACCAATGCCTTCAAAAGTGACAGTCACGTCCCTGTTGTGGGTTGAGTTGCAGGGCAGTGCTGGATGTCCCTGCCATGGGCCTAGCGTGGCTTTGATCAGCATTGTGCACACAGCAAGGTTAAGCACCGGGCAGGGCATGGGGGGATCTCTCATGTGGTAAGAATAACTCATCTGTTCTCTCTGCAGCCAGCACTGGGGAAGAACAACACACCTTTTCGACTGCCACAGGACCATATGCTCTTCGGGTGCCTGAGTGAGACCTTGAGTAAAGGTGAGCTCAAGTCAGCAGCAGGTTTGGAGGAGATGGAGCTGGGCTGTGAGACAGCCTGTGTTGTCGCTGGTACGTGTGGTACATGGCTCTGTCCTCTCCTCAGGCTTTGCCCAGCCAAGTGGTCACTGGATCCCCTTCATGGAGGCAGCAGTAACACTCATCTACCAACTAGCAGAGGGGGCAGAGGAGATATGTGCTCACATCCTGCACATGTGCAGTCAGCAAGCTCTGGAGAAGCTGCAGGAGGCTGATGGACAGAAAGAAGCTGGTGAGGAATACAGCTGGTGAAGGAAATCTGTACCCATGGTTTCCAGTGCTGCAATGGGGTGGCCTAGAGTAACTGCAGAGGAGAAGAGAGCTGAGGGGCTAGTGGAGGTGTTGGCATGGAAGGGTGCGAGTGCTGGGAAGGAGTCTGTGGAGCATGGGCATGGGTTATACAGTGAGGCTTGGCAGTAACTGATGGGGGAAGAGGTCTAGATCAACACTGAACTGTAGTAATTTTTCTCCACTAGACCCAGAGGTTTCTCCAAGCAGAGTCTCCGATGGTGCTAACAGTCTCCCCACGCTCCTGCTGATGCACCTGGTGTCCCTTGTGGGACAGGTGGCAGTGCAGCAGGTAGCATATTTGGAAGTGTCAGTGAGTGCAGAGCTACGCAGACGCCGCATCCTCAGAGAGGAAGAGAAAACCAAGAAGTGTCCTGACAGCAGCAAGAAGAAGCAGAGACCCCGGGTGAGAACTGCGGGGTTTTTTCCAATGGGCAGCTCTTCTACTGCCACAGCAAACTTCTGGAGAATGCATTCCTGAGGATGCACGAGGTCCAGGGTAATGCTTGCTCTGGGAGTAGGAGTGGACATGTGCTGGTCAGGATTGACAGGGAGAGCTGAGGTCCTTGAGTGACCCTGTTCAATAAAACTCTCATGCTGTTCTTGGGTCTTGAACAGGCAGAGGGTAGGGAATGAAGGGTGACATCCTGCTTATCTTCCTGCTTCAGGCAAACATTTCCTTTCCACTCATCACCTCCTTTCTTACCAGTGCAATCTTCAGCAATTGCTGCTGGTGGTGAAGAACACCCATTTGTGCCCTGAGTTTTGGAAAAGGGCTTCTGGAACCTCGGTCCATAGGGCTTGAAGGTCTTGTCCTTTCTCTTATCTTTAATAGTAGCCTTCTGAATGGGACCTGTATGATAGAAATACCCTATTTGGTTAGGTCTACCTCAGAACACTTTCTAGAGTGCAGTGAGACTTTCTTGGGTAAGAACTGAGAAAAAAGTTGGGCATCCTTAGGTATCCAGTCTCTATTAGATGCCTACACTGCTATGTCCAGAGAACTTTGTAGTTCATTTCTTCATCCACCCTGCTTATCAGTCACTCCCATGTCCCCACAGGAGGAGGTTACTATGAGATTTTCCAAGAAGCAGCAGCTGGATGCAGATTTGATCCCCGTGCAACACCCATGTCTCTTTTCTTCCCTTGTGTTGTTTTTGTCTTGCTGTAAGATTTCCCATAATCTTGCTTACAAGACCAGCAGTTCAAAGGCTGCTTTGGACTTCTTGCTTTTAGAATTTGCATGTCCCTTAAGTTGTGCTGGACTCGGGTATTGATGGCAGATATGTCCTATATCTGTCTTAGCTTAGTAGCTTCAGTACCTTAGGCTTTCTTTTCATTGGTGTTGTGTGGCATGTGGACTGGCAGAGCCTGGACTACCCTTCACAGCTTCGGTTTTCAATGAAAAGTGGGTTAAAAAACTCTCTTGTCAGTCTGTTCTAAACTCTAGTCATGCTGCTGGTAACACTGATGCACCTCTCGCCCAAGAGAAGAGTACCTTGTGAAGGAAGGGTTTATCATTGCCTGTCACCTTTTTAAAGTCTTCCTTTCTGCACAGAGCACAGGAAACGAGACCACTATGGAGCAGGAGCTGGGCCTCGTGGGAGCCTTGGCTGATGACACCGAGGCCGAGCTCATCCGCAGTATTTGTGAGACAGAACTTCTAGACGGTAAGTGTGACTGCCACCGAGGAGCACTGGCTCCATCTGCCTGTGCGAAAGAACAGGGATGGTGGGGAACAGATCCCAAAGGAGAAAGGCTGTTTCCTTCAGAAGGAAGCACTGTCATTTTTTGACCAGTGGCAGTTTATTTGCTCTGTCTCTCTGCAGGTGGCTTTTCAATAGTTCAATGAGTCAACCACTTTCTGTAGACTGCAGGAGTTCTGGGATAAATTAAGTAATTGTTCTTAAAGAGGGGTGCACAAACAGTGCTCCCATAATTGCTGTCTTCATCCCCTCTCTCTAGGGAAGCACCTGTTCTCTGCCTTTGTTCCACTAGTGCTCAAGATCTGTAACAACCCCGGGCTCTATAGCGATTCGGCGCTCTTGGCAGCAGCAGCCCTGGCTCTTGGCAAAGTCTGCATGATCAGGTAATGCCTGGCTGTCCCCGTGTGCTCTTCCCAGCCTTCCTGCTGGGAAACACAAGCAAACGTTGCAACTCCTTTCCTATGGAGACAACAAACACAAATGAGTGTTCATAGATTTTATTTTTTGTGTGTGTCTCTGCTCTCTGAGAGATGAGATTTTGGTATCCACACCTTCTTTTCTGTACCCTGTCTCATCAGCTCTGAGTTCTGTGACTCCCACTTGTGCCTGCTGTTCACTATAATGGAGAAATCCCCTCTGCCTGGTGTGAGATCCAACCTCATTATTGCAGCAGGAGATCTGGCCATCCGTTTCCCCAACCTGGTGGAGCCTTGGACATCACATCTCTATGCCAGGTAAAGCTGCACTCATTGCTGGGAGAGGACAGGTGATGAGAGCTCTGTGGAAGGGTGACACTGGGCCTCTGAAAGGTGAGAATGACCCAGGAAACCAAATTTGAAGGTGTCAGTGCAGGGAGATCACAGACCTGGGCTGTGGAGTAGGCTGTCATGGGTATCAGTAATGTAGACATACTCACTCAGCTGCTTTCTGCGGTAACTCTATGCTTCTGTCAGGTTGCGGGACCCCTGCCCAAGCGTGAGGCAGAATGCTGGACTGGTGATGACTCACCTCATCCTCAAAGACATGGTAAAGGTGAAAGGCCAAGTGAGCGAGATGGCAACTCTGCTTGTAGACCCAGAGGAAACAATCATGGGAGTGGCTCAGAACTTTTTCAGTGAACTCTCCAAAAAGGCAAGTGCGTGCTCGGGGACCTGAGCTCACAGGAGCTGGTGGAGGCTGTGTCGATGACACAAGAGTTGAGTCCTGGAGAAGGTGTGTTAGTGGTGTAAAGCAGCTGTCTGTCATTCTGTGTTGCCTAAATGAGTGTAGATAAAGGAAATTTCACAACACACATTTTGTTTCAGCCCTGATGTTGCTGAATTTGACCTCATCCGTTCACATCGGAAGGCAGGCTCCAAACCAGTGCCTTGTCCCTTTGCTTTCCTGTGTACGCCTAGCACAGGGTTGAGCACAAGTTTTCTGCAGCTTTAGGCCTTAGGACAGAGTTCCCTGACCTTATGGCTCAGGCAGTGCACCATCTCTGAAACCTTTCAGAGTTGTTCTTGGCTGTGTGATGTTAAGATGCTTACACTGAAGCAGTTACAGGCCAAGCAGGTAAGAACAGGAGCAGCGTCGTTACCCCCTGCGCACTGTTAATTCAACATGAAAGTTGCTGCAGGCCCTTCAGAGTTTGAGATTGACTGCCTGAGAAGCTGCAGTGACACTGGGGCTTTGGTGTCTTGGCTTGCCCTGTTCAAAGCAGAGCCAGCCACCTGACTGCACTGACTTCCTTCCTCTGCAGTGTCTATGACAAACCATGTAAAAGCAGTAGGAAGGGGACTCTGGATTGGGCCTTTTCAGGCAAGGTGGGAGGCAGTTCCTTGAGCTGAACTGCTGTGTAAGTTCCCTTTACCAGGAACCTTTTTTGTTCAGTTGTGATAAGATTGGAAAACAAAGAAACTGCATCTGAGTCTGCCAAAGAACAAAGCTGTTGCAAACCAAGGGTTGCAGTTGTTGTTAGCTTGTTGGTTGGTTTGTTTGTTTTTTTTTTTCCTCTACCTTAGCTTCAGCTAAGTAGTCCTGGATAGGTTTGCCTGGCTGTGCACAGCTCGTTTCAAAAAGCTGATGTTTTCAGTCAGTAGGTTTGGGGTGTGGAGAAAGGAGGTAATTTTAAGTGGGCAACTTATTTGGCTTGAATCGAGCTGTCCTTCATAATTCTGTATCTCATGTAGAACCTTGTATTCTGCACAGGGTAACGCCATCTATAACCTGCTTCCAGACATAATCAGTCATCTCTCAGATCCTAACTGTGGCATACAAGAGGAATCCTTCCACATTATTATGAGGTATTTTGTGGGTAAAGAAATCTCTTCTGACCAGCACTGTGTTTATGCAAAGGGGGTGCCAGATCCAGGGAACAGAATTACAGTGACATTATACAAAATGTTTTTTCAGTTGCTCTCCTTGATCTGACTTTTTCAGTCTGTATCTGAAATGGAGTCATGCTGAGGAGAACTGATCCTAAAGCCACGTAGTTGGGGGTGAGGAGACTTCACAAAGTTTCCACTAGCTCACTCAAAGTTACTGTCTTTCTAGAAAAGAAAACAGTTGAGTTTATGCATGGGAACATGGATATGCAACATGAGGAGAACACAACAGAGTTAAAGACTCTGCTGCCTTTGTCATGATGGCCTACTGAATTTTTGTAAGCAATTTTAGTAAAGCTGCAGTTAAAGTCACAGATTTGGGTTTGATTTGGGTTGTTTTTGTTGTTTTGGTTTGGTTTTATTTCCCTCTAAAGTGTTTCTCTATAGTATAGAGACGTATTGGAATATTTCAGTCTGAAGGTATTGGGTGCTCATAGACAGCACAAAGAATGTCTTTAGTGGTAAATTACAGAAGTTTTCCTCCCATACCTGAAACTTAACCACATGAGGGTTTTTCTGAATCCAGTAGATTGCAGAGAGGAGTGTTAGACAAAACAAAAATAGTGCTGTGGCTGAAGAGAACAATAACATCTCCAGTGATTTTTCAGCTAGGCTATGAGGATCCAGTGCGTGTAGGAAGATGGATGGAATTTTGGACAGGTAGGAATTGCAAAGCACAGAAAAGGTCTATTAGTGAGGCTGAAACTGAGACTGAAAATAATTTATGGCTGTAAAAGTAGATGGATGTTTTGCTTCAGCTTTCAGTAAGGAGGGTGATGTGAAGTAATGGGAAATACAGCATGTGCCTCCTGGCAGCACATGTCGAACGGGAAGTTAGTGTCTGAAGTGGAAGCAAACCATCACAGAGAAACAAGAAGGCATGTATAAAAGAATGGGTCATAATTCTGGAATTTTCAGTACAATTTTTAATAAATGTCAAATTTGAGGTGTTACCACAGGCCCAGAGAATAGTAAGTGGAACACTTGCATTAAGGTGTGATTAGCGTGGTTAAGACAGCTATAGATGGACTTTTCTGACTTAAAATAACATACAGGGAAAGAACTGCAGGTGCCTGGTAAACAACAGAAAAGGCAGTATTGATTTAACAGAGTTGACAGGTATCAAATTGGTCTAAAGCTAATTAATTTTAAAGAAGACTTGACATCAGTTGGCACACCACATTGTATCCTTTAAGGGGGGTGGGGGGAGAAAGAGTGGTTGAAACTGAACTGCTTCCCCATGTAGCACTATACAAAATGCTTCAATTGTGGAGAGGATCCAGTTTAACTTGGAAACTGTGGTGGACAAAAGCATAGGCTAGGAAGGAAGCAGCAGCTTATGCTCCAGGCATACTTGACAAAGTGAAGAACAGGGAGGTTTAAAAAAGACAAGAGTAGTAGGGGGAGCATCACTGGTAAAGGACTAATGTGTGGAGAATGAGAGAGTTACAGTAACAGATGAAAACTGGCAGAACAAAGCATAAGGTTGAATGTTCAGAAATTTTTTAACCCCTTTTGTAAAGGTGTGGCTGAATTTTGAGATGCATTCCATTTGCTATTTTAGCAGTTGAGTTATTTCTGGTTTATGTATAGGGAAGTGCTGGTGAGACCTTGCCTGGAATGTTGCCACAGTTCTAGTCACTTAAGTTAAAGAAAGATGAATTCATGCTGGAACAAATGCAAAGGAAGGACTATTGAGGATACAGTCTCTGTTCTGTATCTTAGAAAAGAAGCTTGGTGTGGTGGTTGTAGACATAACAAAGACTGCACAAGGATGTGCTTAGAGCTGTTATATCAAGGCCCATGGCAACCTGACTGAGCTTAAGTTAGCAGAAATGTTGGTACAAGAAAAAGGGAGGCCAGCAGGGCCTTCTTAATAAATTGAAGTTAAGTGATATCTATGAGGACATCACGCAAAATGCAGAACTACTTAACTGTGTTAAAGTCCTCAGTAAGCTAAGAAAAACGTGGGCTCAGGTTAGCATTTAAGTTCTGTTAGGCTTTGTTCCCACTTCAGTGCAAAGTAATGCTTAATTTTGCATTGATCCAAAATACAGCAACACATCTTCAGCAAACTAATAATGAAAAAAAGTCACAGTTTTGAGGGGGCAAAAAAATATACTGCATACACCTTACTCCCCTCAAGGTCTGCTTGTCAGATACACCACTCTGCCAGTGCAGCCTGTGAAGTGAGGAGGTTGTCTGGAGGTGTTGCACGCTCTTAAAACTGGATGGAAGGAGCTGATTAAGTCGACCTGCAGCCTTTTTGGCGTTCCTCCTACCTCAGACCCCGCACACACCCTAGCACATCTCATTCCAGACTGCAAGGGTCTGGGCTTCAGCTAGGTTTCTGAGTTTCATTCTGGGCAGATGCTATTATGCAAACATGCTGTTTTAATTCTATGGTGTGTCACAGCAGCTGTCCCCCAACAGGAACTGTGATTACTATTTGAAACAGAAATATGCTTATAGCTTCTCCTGAACCAAGTCTGAGGCACGCAGAGCTCTCTTGTCTTCTTTTGGAGGACAACCCAGCCCATCACTGGACAGGATAGCTGCAAACATCCCATGGTGTAGGCAGAAACGGGGTTTCCTTTCTGGGCTCTCAACTTTGCTGTTCTTTTTCCTTTGCAGACATCTCTTCTCATATATTACAAAAGACAAACAGACAGAGAGTTTGGTGGAGAAACTTTGTCAGCGATTCCGGACTGCCAGGTAGGTTGTAATCCTAATTTTCCTGACAAGAAAGTCTGCTTCTTAGGAACTGTTAGAAGAAACCAGCTTGTATACAGTGGTTGTAACAGGTTCTCATCATATTCTTCACGTGGCAAAGTGACAAATGCTGACAAAACCTGGATAGATCCCTTTTGCATTTTTTTTTCCTATCCTCCTCCTAAAAATACATGAATAAATATGTATAAATTAAGGCTTCTGGTCTTATTACACTGTGACTGGCTCCTCTCCCTTCCCTCCTTTCTGAGGGAAGAGGTTTTGTGACAATTTAGATCTGAGCAAAGAGACATCCTACATGTGGGTTTTACGCACCTTGTGGTCCTTCACAGGCTATTCCCTTGCATCTCAGCTAAGAAACCCCTGTGTTCAACTGAGAAGTTGGGATTTCCCCTGCAGTCCTGCCTGGGCTGATCTCATCTAGTTGATAGAGCCTGTCCTTGTCCTGTGTGTGTGTGCTGCTCAGTATTAACTCTGTTCTGAGACTGTTTTCTTATTTGAGGGCTTGTGCAGCTCCACATTTAGGCCTTTGCTCTACTCTGCAAGGTGTGTGTGCCTGGCTCATGGTGCTGATTACAGAGTATGTTCTGCAGGAGCCACCTCATTAATCTGGGATATTGTTTTGCTTCCTGTGTTTTGGCATTTTTATGTTCTTGCTCCTTTTCTCAACCTGTAACTTGGCACTGATGCAGATGTACACTTTTTTTTTTCTTTTTTACTCCAAGAAGACAATAGAAATTTATCATCTCTGTCATGTACTATCAGTGATATCTCAATTTTACCTTCCACTGGATTTGGTGCACGCTGCCTTCCTCCTTTCCTGTGTTTTTTCTTCTCCATCGTTACAGCTTTGCCCTTGAGGTTTAAGCTGTGTCTGCTTATTTTGGCTGTATCTGCCTGGGCACATGACCTGCTCAGCTGCCTCAGGGAGTTGCATATTCCCCAGAAATATTTGGATTTTATTTCCTGAGCTGGAGTGGAGAGTGGCCCCTCTCTCCAGAGTTGCCTCCCAGGAACACCAGTGAGCTCTTCACACATTTGTAAAGAACCATCTGTGGTTAAGCCATGCTTAGCCTTTACTAAAATGCTCTAGTATTTCTGTACCACAAAGATGATCAGTTCAATGCACACTAGCGGTAATGCTAGAGCAAGACTCTCGCTCCAGGCTAAAACTGGAGCTTATCAGAAAAGATTTTGCAGCCACCATCAGCCGCCTCAGCATTTCTGGAGTTCTAAACATAGCAACATGCCAGATATCATTCAGATTTTAGATGTGGCAACACCTGGATGCTGCAGCTTTGTTCTCTATCTGTCTCTGTTTGGACAGTGCTTGTTATTTGTTCACTTTATATCTTAATGAAAATAGCCTTCTTTATATAACTGGCCAGGAAAAAGAGAGAAAACATCAAATACAGCTTCTGCTTGAAACTATCCCAAGCGCAAAAATGAGCAGACGGGGTTTTTTGGTTATTCAGTTGAAATAAGGCCCTTCAAGAAGAGTCCTCATCGTATTGAGTGCAGTATTGCCAGCTAGGAGGAAAAAACTTGACGCTTTTTAAACAAGCAACTTGCGTTCTTTAACAGTGAAGCCTTCGTGTTTGTCGGAAGACACCAAGTCCAACAACCCAAAGCTCATGTTCTGCAGGGCAGGAGCACCTGCACAGAGCTCTTTATCCTCCTGTGCGGTACTTTGAGGTAGGGTGTGCTCATCCTTATGCGCCCCTTTTCCTAAGAGCTAATGGCAATCTTTGTCTTCCCCAGAACTGAGCGTCAATATCAGGATCTGTCCTACTGCCTTACTCTGCTTCCCCTCTCGGAACGGGGCCTTCACAAGCTGCAGGACAACTTTGACTGCTTTGCAGACAAGCTCCAAGACCCAGCTGTCTACAGTTCTTTCCAAACTGTGCTGGCTCGATTCCGCAGAGCGGGTGGCAAACCTGAGACTAAAGTAAGGATGGGGGGCAAGTGTCCAGGCCAGGACAATGATTGCTTTTACACACAGTGACTGGAAAGCCCTGCAGTTCTCCATTTTAAGCAGGCTACTCCTCACTCCCAAAAATTTATCAGAGAACTTGATGGCATTTCTGCTATGGATGTAATACTTTTCTCTCCCCCTCACCACCTCTTTTTTTTTCTTTCTTCTTTTTTTGCCCACTGTTTTGCATCTCCATCAGGCTCTTGCTGAAGAGCTGGAGCAGAAGCTGTCTGCCTCCCATAACCGAGGGCTCGATTCAGCAGAGACATGCCAGGAAGGCAGTGGAACACCAGTGCCAGAGCCAGCCAAGCAGAAACCAACAGGAGGTATGTTCCCTCTGTGAGACTGCAGCCTTCCCCCTGATCCTGCAGTCCAGCAGGGACACCTGGGGACTTTTCCTCACCCTTACAGACAGAATGGCTGCTGCCTTTCTTTTTTGTTTTGTTTTGTTCAGATTTGATTTTTTTTCTTGGCAGTTTCACGCCGCCAGCACCTGAGCACAGTCAACAGGGATGAAGATTTTGTCACGCCCCAGCCTCGTGCCCTCCGAAGCACTAAGCGTGCCCAAAAGCACCTGCCACCCAAAAAAGCTATTCTCACCTTCTCCAGTGACGAGGAGGACAACTCTGAGGACGGTAAGGCATTGTACAGGTATGCTCAAAAGGGAAAAGTGGAGAAATACCATAGGTTTGGCCCATCAGGGATGTTCCTTTGGTAATGGGCAGAAGGTGTGTAGGGCTTCAGAGTGCTGCCTCAGTTGCCTGTAGATTTCTCTGTTCAAGGCAGGGGAGTGCGGGTTATTGACACGTTTTACTCTCTTAGAGCTATGGGCAGAATTAAAAGATGAAGAAACCCCCACCAAAACAACTCCCATCACCAGATCTTCAGCCCGCCGGCTGCGCTGAGGGAGCCGTCTGCCACCGCCTTTAACTAAAAATAAAACTTGTTTTATGCAGCAGTGTTCTCTTGTCTGAACTACCTCATACTATCATAGTGCTTTAAATGAGGGCAAAATGGAAGTTACACACCAGGCTAAAGCAATTCAAGTCCTGTCTTTTGATATCTCTGCAAAGAAAGGCAATGGTGAACAGAGCTGCTGCTTTGACTGGTTTTGCCCTGGCTTTGCAGATGAAAGTAAGCTGCTCTGATTAAACAAAACACAAAAATCTTTGTAAGAAGGTGTTTCTAAGAAGAGCCAAACTAACCACCAAGTACAGAATGCTCATTCCCTTCCCACTTTGTACATGGTTATAAATATACCATTCAGCTTCTCTTAACACAGGACCAATACAATTTTGCTGGGTTTAGGGCCTTCTGTGTTTTATCCTTTTTGAAGCTTTTTCCCCACAAAGCCCAGCAGGGCTGTACGAGGAAGTTACCTGCATTTTTTTCTTATCCATATCTCCTCAAAGAAGAGTTGAGGGGTGAGGGAAGAGAGAGAGAGAGAGAGAAAGGCTGACTTGGACTGTAGCTTAAGTGCTTCAACAGATAATAAGCAAAATGTATAAGAAAAAAATACAATTTTTTAAAGCTTTAAAAAAAATAGGAAAAAAAAAACATAAAAACTTTAGAATTATCTTTGCCTAACTGATTTGCTGAAGTTACCAAGTATACTGGTAACATTGGTTGTCTCACTGTGCTTCTTGTAATGTATTTGCTGTGAGTCCAGTTATGTTTCAAATACGACTGGCACTTACGCTCCTGGGAATGTTACATCAGCGTTCAAGTCAGTCCTGGCACTCCTTGGGCAGCCGTGTGAACGTGGAGCGCCCTAAATTTGAATTTGTGTTAATCACATGAACAACCTTTAACCTCCTGTCTTACAGGCAAATTGGCATTTGTCCCAGAGCTGTTAGTACAGAATTATTTCCTTCTACTTGTCAGTTGCCTAGAAAGCAGACTGGGGACTAGCTGGGCAGGAATCGGAAGGGTCCTCCTATCAGCAAGTTCCTTTGGGTCTTCTGCATTCTGCCTCTGAGGATCTACCAAGTTCCTGCAGTCGTTGTGGTCACCCTTTGTTTGCCAGCCAGTAGAACCTGCTGCTCAGTTCTCCTCTGGCCTCCTCTGGCTGCATAAGTAGTGATAAAAGACTGCTGGAGTTTATCCTGATCCTTATTAAAAAAAAAAATTAAAAAAAAAAATTAGAAATTGCACAGCTTTGCAGTGGCCTGGGAATATGGTTTTTTAATACCTGAATGGACATAAACCTGTTAGGTGCTTGTAGAAACAAGCAGATGAGGGAATGATGGGGTGACAGGTGTATTTACTGGGCTGGGACATGTGGACCAAAAACCACAGTAGAGTCTCATGACTTAGTGGCAAGATTTGCCACCACAAGCGTAGTAGCCAGATACCAATAGAGATACCCTCCCCAAGTCACATGAAATACAAAGATCAGAAAGCTGTGGCAATATTGTCCCTCTCCCGTCCTCCCTGCTAAAATATTCTCTACAGGAGACAGAGGCAGCAGCTACAGTGTTAGCAGTAAATTCCACACATGGCTGTGCACGCTGTATACGTGATTCCCCCACCACGCCCATGGGGTATGTCACTCACAAATGACAATGAAAGAAAAAGGACAACATATACAGATTTCTACCCAGGCTCATGGCTTTACAAGTCTGTGCAGTAAGTCTTGCATGTGTATGAGATAATATGCAGTGAGTGGGAGATAAATGGGTAGATGGAGGAACCAAGGTGGCCATAAAACTAAGGACTGGCTTACCTTCAGGCCATGCTTTTCCACTACAAGTTGTTAACGAGCTGATTTCCTTCAGGAGAGCCACCCAGCCGCCCTTCTGAGATGGAAGGAGGGTTTGGCAGCCAATGACTGGACTGACATGGTGGTTCCTTTGCTGCTTTGCCATCTGTCTTTCGCTGTTTCCTGGGCACAGCACTGCCTGGGCAAGTGAGAGTGGAAGGCCAGTGAGCAGGAGCTCCTGTTGGTCCCTTTCTGCAGGCTGTTCAGGTGGAGCATCCCGCTCTCCTCACTGGCCTCTCCTGGCACTGGAGGAATTTGCAATCCTGTACCATGGACAAGGGAAGTCCTGCAGAAAGATGAAGTAAAAACCAAGAGGGGTTTGAACAGTTATGCAGCAGCTGCTGCCTTAAGCAGACAGTTGCCACCTTTCTGTTCCTCACAAGTGGCTATTCCAGTGGTGACCGTGATGACCGAGAATTGCTACAGGACAAATCCCACTCCCTCGCTTCTGAGGCCGTGGCATTACTCAGTGCCAACATCAGTGGCGTTTCCGTTCTCTGAGGGACCACTGACCACAGCAGGCTCCAGATTGCTACACATGGTACCAGGGGAGTGACAGGAATATTTGTCCTTGCTTCTAGAGCCTGCAGAACCATCAGCCCTTTGCATCACCAGGGGTCAGGGGGTGTTCCCTGAGGTACTTCACCCAGTTCCTAGTCCTCCCGCTCACCAGTAGCCCCACTTCTTTCCTTTATA